TTATAAGTATAAAAAAAAGAACACAAAAAAAAAAAACCATGAGTGATTCTCCACTTATTGGAAAGGGGGATAGTAATGGGGGGGGGGGGGCGTCAGAGGTGAAGGTCGTTGTGGGGGGGGAGGGGGGGGGCGGGGGACAAATGAGATAACACCAAGAGTGGATGAAGGATCCTCGAATAAAGACACAGTTTCTGACGGTGAAACCGCCTCTCTCCCACGTTCTATCGTGTCCTTTCACTAAAAACTACGCCCCTATTGTGACACAAATCCAACAGGACACAGATCATTGGAAAGTGAGACCAACAATTTTGAGTAATTTCAAAAAATTTAAAAATAATTTTTTTTTATTTTTTGTTGTAATTGCGTTAAAAAAAAAAGTTTATGTTTTGATGTGTGCAAGTAAAGCCTTCATTTAATTCTTGGCAGGTCTCACTGACAGTTGTCTAGTACCTGTTGCGAGTTGTTACGATGTGGGTGCGACAGCAATGTAGGTGTGACAGCAATGTGGTTGTAGCAGTCCCATAAACATACTACATAGTACAAATAGTGTTTTGGGTTTCTGAGTCGTCACAAATGGTGTGTAGGTTTCTGAGTCGTCACAAATAGTGTGTAGGTTTCTGAGTCGTCACAAATGGTGTATAGGTTTCTGAATCGTAAAGATTGGTGTGTTGGTTTCTGAGTCGTAAAGTTTGGTGTGTTTGTTTCTGAGTCGTAAAGATTGGTGTGTTGGTTTCTAAATCGTAACGACTGGTGTGTTGGTTTCTGAATTGTAACAAATGGTGTGTTGGTTTCTGAAGCGTAAAGATTGGTGTGTTGGTTTCTGAGTCATAAAGATTGGTGTGTTGGTTTCTGAGTCATAAAGATTGGTGTGTTGGTTTTTGAGTTGTAACAAGAGGTGTGTTGGTTTCTGAATTGTAACAAGAGGTGTGTTGGTTTCTGAGTCAGAGGTATGTCCCTAGAATAGAATTGGTGTGTGTCTGTTCTCATTGCGTCACAACTATTTCTCATGACGCCTGGAGCCGTAGATCAAGAACTGATGAGGAGTCGAGAGTCTAATCTTGGGATTTGCCATAGTAACAAAATGTAATCCCCCCCCCCAAACCAGGCGAAGGACAGCAGGTACGGAAAAAAAAAATAAAAAGAACTAAAGCAAAGTGTGGCATGCGAAATGTTTTTCACACAAAACCCGTAGAGTTGTTACTGGGACATCATTATTGATACATCAACATTTACACGTACAGAAGAGAACAGAAATGTACATACGTAGACATGAGTACACATATCCCCTTCGTTGAACTAAAAGTAACTGGGGGGGGGGGGCGTTTGTCACGGGATCGGTGACAGATGCAGGCGACCAGATACGTGCCCCCCCCCCCGTATAAGTATACTTATTAAGTTTGTCAGAAATTCATCCTACCTAAACTTTAATCAAAACGTTAAAAAGAAGGAAAAAAAAGAGGGGGGGGGGAGGGAGAGGGGGTTGTGTCTGCACATAAATTTTTATTTTTGCACAGGTCAATGGATATGATTGGAATTTTTTAATTTAAAAAAAAAAAAAAACTTTCATCCAAGATAAACAGCGTTCGTCTTGAGGGGGAAAATGTACAATAAATTTTTTTTGTAAACACTCTAGTTAATTATTTTAACTACTACCCTAGTAAAGTATTCACAAACCAAATTTTGAATCAAAATAAATGTGAAAACGAGAGTGAAGTTCAAAGGCTGTGTGTGTTTAAAAGTACATCTAATCTATTATATAATTGAATAAACTCATTCTATTGTAAGGAAAGATTAATACCAAAATAATATGTGCATATATATATATATATATATATATATATATATATATATTTATAATAAATCATTTTTATTTTCCTGACCTATGTTCAAATCGATTTGTTTTGTGCATTCCGTGACATTTTTTCTTCTCAGTTTTACTTTTCAAACGATTAGATCAACTGTCAATGACACTTCACATTAATAAAGTTTCAAATGCATTTTTCATTTTAAAAAAATCTCATACATATTGAAAGATAGAAAAAAAAAAACATAAAAAATATATGATACTTTCAGTATAGTATTTACATTTGTTAAATATTAGTTTCTGTTAGCTAAAATCAGTTTTGACAAAATGAAGAGACTGGTTCCAGATATTCATTGTCATACAAGTGTATAATATAGATATATTGATTCATTACAAATATAAATATAAGATTTAGTGTAATATAAACAATGTGTTTTTTTCATTTTACTCTTTGAACATGAGAGAAAAAAAGAAGAGGAGTTATAAATAGCTTTTATTGTCATGTGGTCGACCAATCAATGAAGGAAGGAGGCTTTACCGAAGCTGGCATTCGATTAAACTTGTCTTTACTTTGTCGACGTTGTTGATCTTTTAAGATGTTTCCAGGTCCACTGTCCTTCAGTGACTTCGTATAGCAGTGGTTCTCAATCCTTCCTAATGCCGCGATCCTTTAATACACTTTCTCATGACGTGGTAACACCCTCGCCCCCCCCCCCACCACACATACAAAATTTTACAATTTTCGTTGTTATTTCATGAATATGCGTTTTGCGATGGTCTCAAGCGACCCCTGTGTAAGGGTCGTCCAACCTCCAAAGCTGAGGGGGGGGGGGGTCTTGGCCCACACGCTGAGAACCGCCGTCTTATAGCCTTATGGTTTGAAAATGCTCCATCGATCTCATGAAACTGTTCATTTCTTTTAAAATCTGTTGACCTATGGATTTTTTAAAATATTGTATCTGACTTCGCAGGCGTTTTTTTTTTGGGGTGCAATTCAGCATCTTAAATGCATTGAACAGCATTTGATGTTACACCAAAAACAAAAAAAAATATTAATAGAAACCCAGATCTGTAACACCATTGTGTTGGCGTTTGGGTGGCGAGCACACCAGTGTGTCCTATTGGTTGATGAGCTCACACGTGTGTCTTTTCTGCTGTTACTCTATAGATCTTTGTGTCAGGTGTGGGGTGGGGGACGCCCCATACTCAGTGAGATTAATTTTGCTATCCGCGATTTCGGCAACTTAATCTCCTCTTCCCCCCCCCCATGACAAATTTTAAGACGGGTCGTAGTCGGATCGGACGTTGTGGTCGTAGATGGGTCGGGCGTTGTGGTCGTAGATGGGTCGGACGCTGTGGTCGTAGATGGATCGCACATTGTGGTCGGCACGCCGGAGCATGCATTAAGTCAGATGAATTGAGTCTCTAAATTCTTCATCCAAATATTCAGCCAATCAGCTGCAGCCAGAAGTGGACTTGAAGGGCACGTGACACCATGACGCGGCCGCCCATCTTATTTGAACTAGGCAACCAAGTTTTTTTGTTTTTTTTTACAGGAAATTCGTGGAACTTAGTGTTTAGGACTAAATGTGTTCAGTGCACCACTTGTGGTTTGTGCTGTAGGTTGTGGATTGTGCTGTAGGTTGTGGTTTGTGCTGCAGGTTGTGGTTTGTGCTGCAGGTTGTGGTTTGTGCTGCAGGTTGTGGCTTGTGCTGCAGGTTGTGGTTTGAGCTGTAGATTGTGGTTTGTGCTGCAGGTTGTGGTTTGTGCTGCAGGTTGTGGTTTGAGCTGTAGGTTGTGGTTTGTGCTGTACGTTGTGCTGTAGGTTGTGCTGTAGGTTGTGGTTTGTCCTATACACTGTGGGTTGTGCTGTATGTCGCAGGCGTGTCCCAGCTTTTTTTGATTCCTCAAACCTACCACAAAACAATTGGATCATGAATGTCAGCGTGGAGAGGACATATAAATAAGTTGCGAATCATTCAGCGCTCACAACATTCGGTGCAGGGCAACAAAGAGGTGCTCAGAGCTGTAGAGGGGGTTTGCACAACTATAGATACTTCGTGCATCATTAGTTGATCAACATTGCTATTAAGTAGTCGGTGCGCACTGCTCTTAATATTGCGCTCGGCACAAAAGGTGCGCACATCAGTAGGGACAAGACCATCTATGTTTTTAGTTTTTTGTATAGTTTTTTTTTTACTTTTTTTTTTTTTTAATTGTTTTCATATTAAATTAGGGTTACGCTTTGAACTGAACATTGTTCCCTTTAAAAAAAAAACAACAACTCAGTGGATTTTAAATTAATGTCATTGGTAGAGGGCGTTGTAAAATGATAAAGGTCACATCCGCATTTCCGTTCAATAAGTGGAGCTCTCGATGTCACATTTTAATGTACGTTCGTGAGCAGCTCCGCGCAGTCTAAGGCGAGCTGTCTTCGCACGCCAAACTCACGTCAAGCCATCTGCAACAACTGCGTGTGACAGTTCCTCACAAACACGCGTGTCAAGTCATCATTATGTTTCTCAAAGGCTCACACAGACGCGTGTCGAAACCCGATATGTTCGTCAAGTGCTTGAAAAAAAAAACACGCGTGTCGAGTCCTCATATGTCCATCAAGTGCTCAGAAACACGCGTGTCGAGTCCTCATATGTCCATCAAGTGCTCAGAAACACGCGTGTCGAGTCCTCATATGTCCATCAAGTGCTCAGAAACACGCGTGTCGAGTCCTCATATGTCCATCAAGTGCTCAGAAACACGCGTGTCGAGTCCTCATATGTCCATCAAGTGCTCAGAAACACGCGTGTCGAGTCCTCATATGTCCATCAAGTGCTCAGAAACACGCGTGTCGAGTCCTCATATGTCCATCAAGTGCTCAGAAACACGCGTGTCGAGTCCTCATATGTCCATCAAGTGCTCAGAAACACCCGTGTCGAGTCCTCATATCTCCATCAAGTGCTCAGAAACACGCGTGTCGAGTCCTCATATGTCCACCAAGCGCTCACAGACACGTGTGTCGCGTCTTGTTCACAGAACACACGTTGCACTTGACGTCACAGCACCAGTTGAACTGACATTGACAGCGCTCGCGCGCCACGTACTCTTCCGTCTTGTAGCCCCGCCCACAGCACATGAGGTCACATCCGTCGATGCCAAGGGATGTTCCGTTACATTCACGCCCCTGTACAAGATGAGATCAGGAGTTCAATTAGAAGATGAGACAAGCAGTTCAGTAAGTAGATGAGACCAATAGTTCAAATAGTAGATGAGAGGAAAAGTTCAGTAGGTAGAAGAGACCAATAGTTCAGTAGGTAGATGAGGCCAATAGTTCAGTAGGGAGATGAGGCCAATAATTCAGTATAGGGAGATGAGACTAATAGTTCAGTATAGGCAGATGAGACCAATAGTTCAGTAGGTAGATGAGGCCAAAAGTTCAGTAGGTAGATGAGACCCATAGTTCAAATAGTAGATGAGACCAATAGTTCAGTAGGTAGATGAGTCCAAAAGTTCAGTAAGTAGATGAGGCCAATAGTTCAAATAGTAGATGAAACCAAAAGTTCAGTAGGTAGATGATACCAAAAGTTCAGTAAGTAGATGAGGCCAATAGTTCAAATAGTAGATGAAACCAAAAGTTCAGTAGGTAGATGAAACCAAAAGTTCAGTAGGTAGATGAGACCAAAAGTTCAGTAGGTAGATGAGAGCAACAGTTCAGTAGGTAGATGAGACTGATAGTTCAAATAGTAGCTGAGGCCAAAAGTTCAGTAGGTAGATGCGACTAAAAATGCAGTAGGTAGATGCGGCCACAGTTCAATTAGTAGAAGAGACCAATAGTTCAGTAGGTGGAAGAGGCCAATAGTTCAAATAGCAGATGAGACCAATAGTTCAAATGACAGACGAGACCAATAGTTCAAATAGTTGATGAGACCAAAATTTCAGCAAGTAGATGAGACCAGCAGTTGACACAAGCACTTACGGAGGTCCCGTCCAAGCCGATGCCCTGGTCTTTCTCACAGAAACTCGGGGAGTCTTCGAAGTACACCAGGTCTCTCCTCCCCGGGTTCTTGTGATTGACATTGGCCGGCGTGAAGTTGAACCGCCTCTTTTTACTGCCACGCCCACTGCCAGAGTTTTCTGAGAATTATTCAAATTGTGCACACACAAAAATCATACTATTCTTTAAAAAAGAAAAAAAGAAATTGACACAAATGATTCATTTAAAATAGATCTGCTAACACGTTAAATAAATGAAAGGACTGAGTTCAAGCTGCGTGAAGGAAATAGAAGAAACACGGTTTTCTGGAAGCTTATTTATTTATTTCCTCATTTGTCTTGTCTGCCGGTGAGCACTGGCGTAGCTAGGGGAAGGGGAGGGAGTCCAAATTCGAAAGTCCCCCCCGGGCCCTACTTCAGGGGGGCCCGGAAAGGCGTGTCCGAATTTTTTTTTTTACATTAAATAATGTCGAATGTCAAAAAGCAGGGGCCCCTAAAGAGGCCAATTCCCCCGGGCCCCCAAATCCCTAGATACGCCACTGCCGGGGAGGGCTTTTTAGTCGAAACGTTCTTCTATCATCGCATTGTCTTTCCGTTGCAAGCTTCCACATAGCTTTGTTCTACTCTTTCCCTGAAGCACGTTTAAGTTTAAGCCAGTTAACATGAGTTTGTTTTTTAAAACTCTAATTTCATCCCATTGGCCTGATTAGTGAATGCATCTTGAGCTGACTTGTCATTCTTTAAGGTTTTAAAGGCAAACATTTTAGCGGATGGCATCATTTATGACTCATTATATTTCCCAACTGAAGCTGAATTTAAAAGATTTTTATCATTTAAGATTTTAAATGACCAGTAAAATATGACATTTGTAGCGCTTGATGTCAAGCTAAGAGATGCCACCGCGTGGTTAGTAAGAGCTCATTTGCGACACCGTAAGGCCCACACAAAAATACGGGGGCACCACAGATTTGAACGAGAACCACTAATGGGTATAAACGAACGCGTGTTGTCCTTGCATAATCGTGTGTAATAAATGTATGCGTAAAAATTACGTATGGGTAAATGAGCTCATACGTGTTAAATTTTTTGTATATACATATAGTCTTGACGAGGTGAACGCGGTACAGTTTTAAATATGTTCAAAGTTGAGAGTTAGCAGTGACAGGGTTATTAAGTGACATCTAAACATAATTAAATTAATATGTTGTGTGTGTGCGCTTAGCGGTGAAAATCTGGACGGACATTGGAATGAAATAAATACATCACTAAAGTCAAATTATTTCGTACACACAAACATCCTGACGGTCACTGGAACAAAAAGCACACACTAATCTTGAATCGCATTTAATTTTTTTTTTTTTTTAAAATCTTGATTGTCATTGAAACAACACATACTTTGTTTCTGTCAGTATTCAACACAAAAAAACCATTCATATTGACTGTCACAACACACACACACACATATATTGAATGTCACAACATACACACACATTGACTGTCACAACCTACACACGAATCTTGACTGTCACAACATACAACAAACATCTCGACTGCCACAACCTACAACATACATCTTGACTGTCATAACCTACAGACACATCTTGACTGTCATAACCTACAGAAACATCTTGACTGTAATAACCTACAGACCCATCTTGACTTTCACAACATACATCTCGACTGTCATAACCTACCGACACATCTTGACTGTCATAACTTACAGACACATCTCGACTGTCATAACCTACAAACACATCTCGACTGTTATAACCTACAGACACATCTTGACTGTCACAACCTACATACACATCTTGACTGTCACTGAAAAAAACTAAAATACATGTACACACCTTCTTCCTGCTTTAATCCGTCATTACCTAAAAATAGAACAAAAGAAAAAAAAGGCATTGTGCAAATACAGTTCATGAATTTATTTAGTCAATAAAACAGGTGGGTTTTTTGTTCAACTTGCGCGAATTTTACATAATTGTGTACACCAATGAAAAAAATTGGTTTGAATGTATGCATTAAATGAAATAAATTAGTCAAATAACCCTTGCACTGCTAACACTGTACATCAATTATATTATACGTACATACGAAAGTAAAAGAAAATACATTTGCTCAGATAAATTGTGGAAGAAATAAAAGTTGAGCGAAAAAGAATGACACATTTTCTCTGATATCGAACACGTTGATATTAATTAAAACTCATCAGGCAGACTTCATATTGTATGGCCACCAACAGCTTTCCATCCTCTGGATTCATGCCTCACCTACGGGATTCGATCCACTCCCCTCACACTCCACACATATGTTTCCTTCCTTTGCGTCAAGATTTATCTACCAAATTCCGTGTTCCAACATCTACATGCTCCCAACAAAACTATGGTTTCTGTTAGGACTCCCACAACCACACCTAGTCCCCATGCACTCAATAGACAACCACAACACCTAGACTCCATACACTCCATAGACCACTCCCACTACCTAGTCCCCATGCACTCAATAGACAACCACAACACCTAGTCCCCATACACTCCATAGACCACCACAACACCTAGTCTCCATACACTCCATAGACCACCACAACACCTAGTCTCCATACACTCCATAGACCGCCACAACACCTAGTCTCCATACACTCCATAGACCACCACCACACCAAATCCCCATAATACTCCATAGACCGCCACAACACCTAGACTCCATACACTCCATTGACCACCACCACACCTAGTACCCATACACTCCATAGACCACCACAACACCTAGTCTCCATACACTCCATAGACTACAACCACACCTAGTCCCCATACACTTCAAAGACCACCACAACTCGTCTTCCCCCAATCTGTATCGAAACCTACCTGGAAGAATTCTAGAGGCGCCGTCAAATCTGTCCTTCAGGGAATTTCCGATCTCTCGAAATGGCGGCAAGGTCATCCAGCAGGTCTTGATGGTACAACTTCCAGACATGCCGTGACATTTACAGTCCTGTCGTAGCCCCGAAGTCACGTGCTTGGAAAGAAAAAAAAACCAACACGATAAATTGTTTTATTAAATCATCTTATCAATATTTCTTCTACTATAACGATGGAGCGAAACCTCAACAACAACTCAAGTCAAGCACAAGTTACTGGCAGAGCTTTGGAGGACAACCCCCCCCCCCCACCCCCCAATGCCTAGTGACCACAGTGCTGTTGGTGATGTCCCCACGGTTCTTTGTGGCGTCACATCCGCTTTGAGATAAAGCCATTTCCGGAATAAGTACCGGTACCGACTGTTAGGTATAGTATCTTTTGCATGCTTGCTTGGACGTTAGTTTACTTCTGACTACGAACAACGTCTTCTCAATGACTACGAACTACGTCTTCTCGCTGACTACGAACTACGTCTTCTCACTGACTACGAACTACGGCTTCTCACTGACTACGAACTACGTCGTCTCGCTGACTACGAACTACGTCGTCTCGCTGACTACGAACTACGTCTTCTCGCTGACTACGAACTACGTCGTCTCGCTGACTACGAACTACGTCTTCTCACTGACTACAAACTACGTCTTCTCACTGACTACGTCTTCTCACTGACTACGAACTACGAGTGCGATGTGTATGGAAATGGGCAGGGCCCACAGCTTCTAAGTACCTAGTGTGCCTATCTGATTAACACTGTGGGAGTAAAAAAGGTGATAGACTCTCATTATCACATTCTCTGCAGCTTCCTCTGTCCACTTGACGCTCACTCCCTGCACCAACTCACTTCTCCCCCTCATATGACCACTACCTCCGCACCGTATCGCTTACTTCCACCCGTCCTGCCTCCCAACCCTCTCGCTTTCACTCCCTAAAGTTCTCTTTTGCCCTTTCATCTCTCTCCTCCCGCCTCAAACTGATCAATCCACTTTGTCTCCCTCTATGCATTTATGACGCTCTACGGCCTCAGTTGTCTCCTTTATTGAAACATCTCACTTTCTCCACTACATTTAACTCTCCTTCTATCACTCTCATTCTCTCTCTCCTTTACATTATATAAATGTTCTATACATTATTTTCTTTCCATTTGCGTCATGATTAAAAAAAAACAAAAAAAAACAAACAAATCAGACTCACAACTCTGCCGGCCTCGTTATTATGCAAATTAGTCATAAACCGGAAGTCTCTCCCCTTCTCCAGGACGTCCACGAACTTTCGAGAGAACCTGTGCCCGAATTTGGCGTTGTCGCTGCATCCGCTCCACTCCCAGTCTCTGCCCGTGGGTCTCCCGTGGGGCTCCGTGTCGCAGGTGCACGTGGTGACCCCGCCCTCGGAGCACGCCCTCGCCACGGAGTGGGACACGGCTGCACTGGTGATGGCGTAGATGAAAGCTGTCTCGCGACACCCTGAAAGCCGAAAAAAAACAACAAAAAAACAATAATAATAATAATAATATTAAATATGTAATATAACATAATAAATGCAATGACGTAAAGACTGGCATGAGGATTTGACATTTCTAAGATGGGAAAACCTCATGTCGCAATGCGTCATGTAGCTATTTTTTAGATAATTTTTTATTCACAAAGCATAACTTATAAATATGTGTTTCCTCGTGGCTATATAGGTCTAGCCGTAGCAATTGGTTGGTAAAAATCTTTCGTAAAATGCTTGACACGTAAATCGCTTTAAATACACATTTGTTTCGCTTTATTTCATTAATGTATGTTAATTAATTGTTTTTAAAGTTTTTGATTATGTTTGTTCAATTGTATGTACAGCGTGGTGAGCCCAGCCCTAGGCTGAGTTACCACGCTATTTTTAAAAAAACCACTTATAATAATAATGATAATAACAAATACGTTTTTGGTCTAGGTTAAGATCCACAACGCCGGCTCACATTATCGAAGTACCGAACAATCTGTTGAGAGCTTGGCCAAACGGAATACCAGGATGTTTTATTACTATCGTAAATGAGACTTGCCAGACTGCTAGCCCGAATGCTCTATTTATAGATTTCCCGCCATTAAATGATACACTCTATGGAGTTAGGAAAGAGTACATTCAACTAAAATCAATAAGAAGCTCTCTCTTTTTTTTTTTTCCTTTCCACGATTATGTCATTAACTTTAAGATCATCGACGCAAGGGAAATTGTAACCTTCTGTCAGAAGAAAACAAACGGACCAACTTCCTAAAAACTTTTTTTTTTCTCTTTATCTTCAGATGCCGAACATCCCATCATCATTTACACAACGTAAAAAAAAACACTTTTCTCCCCGCTGACCAACGACGACCAGCCATTCCTCATTAATGTCTGTCATTAATGTCTTATTAATGAGATGAGGGTGGAAGAATATGTTGTTGGCGTACTGCCTCTTATCTGGACTAGATTTAGCGTAAACATATAAAACGGTATGGACCAGTGGTCAGCGAATCGCGGCTCTCGAGACGCATGCGGCTCTTTAGCGAACTTAATGCGGCTCGGCCAGTGTCGGCCACAATTCGGTTTTGACTCCGAAAAACTTGCTTCTTGACAGGTTCTTGAAAAGAAATTTGGCTCTCAAATTTTTTTTTTATTCGTCCTGCTGCTGATTTTTGGCTCTGGTGACTTATGATTTTGCCGACAACTGGTATAGACCAAGAGTGCCCAGGTACAGGGCCGGCCTTAGGCCACTGCAACCTATGCCCCGCGCTAATTCTAGGTGTAAATTATTAAATTAAACCATTATAACTTATAATCATGTATAGGTCAGCGTGTTTATTCTGTTTTCATGTTTTTTTTACAGTGTTTTTAATCTATTACGTCGTTGTTTCAAGTGATTACGACAAGTAAATAAAATTGATTTTTTTTTTGTTGCAATTCTTGCTATTGAGCGTTATCTATGTAGGAAACAGAATTTTGATGATATACTGTAAGACTTCGCTACACGCAAGGATCGTAAAGTAAAGTTAATTTGATCGTGATTTTTGTACCTAGTAAAGAATGAATAAAATGCAAAGACGAATTTATTTTCTAATACAAAAATCTAAATTTCCCCTTATTATCCTTATCCCTACCCAGACTGGGCCCCCGTGCAATCCGTTTCGCATAGGGCCCCGCAATTGTTAGGGCCGGCCCTGCCCAGGTATCACAGATCTATGTGCCCGCGTGTTGAAGACGACAGAATTGTGAGGTCTACGAACCAATCACGTCAGCAGTATAACCAAAGCCAACACTGAAGGGAGGCCAATACAGATGAGATCTTTCAGAAATCTTTTTCATAGTTTTCGACTAACACAATGCGTTGGGTGATGACTTCAATGGAGACCGCTAACAAAGAAGTCATGTGAAGAAATGACGGGAGACAGCACGCAGGGACCTGGATTATATAATGAATGGACGCACGTGAAAATGCTGATATGTTTAGCTAGCGTTTTAAACAGGGATGCTAGGAGCTAAGACCAAGATTAAGATGGTTTTGCATTTTATAATTTTTTTACAAAAGTTTGGTTTCGTAATATATAATTTAACTATAGTTTTGTTTCGTAATATTTAATCTAACTAAAGTTTTGTTTTGTAATATATAATTTTACTAAAGTTTGGTTTCGTAATATATAATTTTACTAAAGTTTGGTTTTGTAATATATATAATTTTACTAAAGTTTGGTTTTGTAATATATAATTTTACTAAAGTTTGGTTTTGTAATATATAATTTTACTAAAGTTTGGTTTCGTAATATATAATTTAACTAAAATTTGGTTTTGTAATATATAATTTCACTAAAGTTTGGTTTTGTAATATATAACTTCATTAACGTTTGCTTTTGTAATATATAATTTCACAAAAGTTTGGTTTCACTATATCACTTAACTAAAGTCTGGTTTCGTAATATTTTCACTCTAAAGTTTGATTTCGTAAGGGAAACACTTTTTTTTTCCTTCTTTAAAAAAACAACGTATCTTGTGTTTGTCGTTTTCCATTAAAAGCTCTACATAAAAGTACGAAAGCTGAACGTCATCAAACACGAATGTGTTTCTTAAGGCACATGGTAATCTGCCTCATGACTCAGTATTTAGACATTTAAGGCTTAAAGGCAAGTCTTTTGTGGATTGGAAAAAAAAACAAACAGATCTATACAGTAAACACTTTGGCGTGACTGTTGGACGGAACACAACACAAGGAGGAACGCCCTGTACCAAACACCGTAATGGCGGCCACGACAGAACAGTTCGGAGCAGAGGGCAGGCAGCTAGCTAACCGTGTAGGGTTTACGATCAAATCCTTCACAAAGGCGGTTATCGCCGAGTCGTATCTGCCGGCTGTCTGGTCGGCCGCTTGCACTTAATCACGAGAACAGACTTGAAATAGTTGATGTTGATGTTAAGGGCTAGATGAATTATTTGCGAATTTAGGGGTGGGGGGTGGTGGGGGTGGAGGGGGGCTGTAATTCGTGGGGCTTATAAATGAGTGTTAATTAACAACGTTTGGCACCCCCTAACTAATACTCATCATGATACAATAGTGACGTCCCATCAATACTCATCATGATACAGCAGGGACATCCCATCAATACCCATCATGATAGAGGACTGACATCCCATCAATACTCATCATGATACAGCCCTGACATCCCATCAATATCCATCATGATAGAGGACTGACATCCCATCAATACCCATCATGATAGAGGACTGACATCCCATCAATACTCATCATGATACAGCACTGACATCCCATCAATGCTCATCATGACATCACATCAATACTCATCATGATACAGCACTGACATCTCATCAATACTCATCATGACACAGCACTGATATCACATCAATACTCATCATGATACATCACTGACATTCCATCAATACTCAGGATACATCACTGACATTCCATTAATACTCATCATGATACATCACTGACATCCCATCAATGCTCATCATGATACATCACTGACATCCCATCAATACTCATCATGATACATCACTGACATCCCAATCAATACTCATCATGATACATCACTGACATCCCAATCAATACTCATCATGATACATCACTGACATCCCATCAATACTCATCATGATACAGCAGGTACATCCCCATTAACAAGATTGACCACCACCCCAGAGTTCATGTAGCATAAGTTTGAGCATGGCTTTAATGTGGGGGGGGTATGCTTCAGTCAATGACGACCTCCTACCCGCTCACGTGCACCTACAGTTGATGTCATGACGACGAGACTGAGGCTGGCGGATTGGGCTACTCTCCAACACTTTAAAAAAAGATACAGCTCATGTCATGGACGGACAATACCCCCCCCCCCAAAAAAAAAACAAAAAAAACAAACAAAAAACGTCATATTTGATGTGGTCATTTTACCAACAGCTGGCGAGAGCTTTGATTCCGCCTGGAATTCTTGGCCGGCAATTTTACTAGTTCAGCAGGAGAACGTTCAAACTTTGGATGCACATCTTAAGACTCTTACATTCCAAAGGTTTCTGAGATGTTAGCAAGGTTAGAGTAGTTCAACTTTGGATGTAAAATCTTACGAACTGCCTTCGCAGTGGTTTCACGGGGCGTCGCCATGGATGCGATAGTTCAATTTTCATTATAAACCGTACGATTCACATTTGCAGTGTTTCCCCGGGGGAGGTCATCAAGGAATGTGAATGTTCCAATTCGGGATGTAAAGCTGACGACTTACATTGGCAGGGTTTCAGGGAAGTTGGCAAGGATCTGAATTTTGTACAGGTTTCAATTTTGTGTGTGTGTGTGTTTTCGGTTCAATATTTTAAACATAGTTGACGCCCCTGTCACGTATACAAATTCAAAGGCTGAAAATTCTAAATCACGAAAAAAAAAAGAAAAAAAAAGGCGCGGGGGTGGGGGGTGGGGGGGTGGGGGTATTTTAACAAATGTATCAATCCTTAACATAAGCCCATTGAAGAGTTATTTGATGTGCAACAACTTAGAGACCCTATATTGTGACGTCTTTAAGATGTGTATGATTCAACGTTTCCCGCATCTCTCAGGTAAAAGAAACACGACTAAAGGCCCTTTTAACATTCCTGAAATCTCACCTGAGAGTGCAACCATTCATGTCCCCCTTTTACCGCCAATCCCACCCCCCACTTTACAAAAAAAAAAAAACAACAACCTGTGTCCCTAACACAACTAGATTAAAGTTCATGTCGTGAGAAATTGAATGAAATTGGCGAGTTTCCATTCTCACGCCTATAGACTGTTCATGATGCTGCCAGCGGTTTCCCCAGCAGCTTCGATTTAATGCCCCCACTCCCCACCCCACCCCGTGGGGGTGTCAAAAACGGGACGGCACTTGCAAGACAAGGGGAATTAACTGCAGAGACGGGAATTAAACTCTGAACAGCGTTTCACCTTTGAGCCGTGCCGGGAAAACCCTTACCACATAAATTGGTCACAGGATCTCTTGTCTCAATCACGGAGTTTTTCAGACTTATTAAAAGGAAAGGGGGGGACAACAAGAGCTCGCATTAAAGGGAGATTACCGCGAATTGTGTTGTAACACCTACAGCAGTTGCGGGGAATGGAAACACACACACACACAAACACACACATACACACCCACACACACAAGAAATGTCCTTCCTACATCTTGCACCACAGCGCACTACCATAAACATGTAAAGAAAAATGAAACATTTATGTTATATACGGATGTGTGGAAATGATTTTGCGTGTGTATGGGGGGGGGGGGGTTTGGGTTTTAAAAAAAATTTGGTTTCATATAAATATTGTGATGGACACCAGGCAAACGTTAACGGATTAAGATGTACTACCAGGCTCAGATTGAAACTATTACTACTATAAGGCAATCTTGAATGAATGTGAAAAAAAAAATTATTTTTTTTTTAGTAAGAGCTTTTTTTGAAAACTGAACTAGATTCCATTTGTCATTTGAGTCTAGTCCAGCGGTTCTCCAAATTTTGAGTTTGGCGGACAGGCTGACAAGTTTCGAAATGGCACCAGGACAAGTTTAGAAATGACATCACTGACAGGAGGACAAGTTTAGTAAATGGCATCACTGACAGGGGGAAAGTTTCGAAATGGCACCACTTTAGGAGGAAACGTTTAGAAATGGCACCACTGACAGGAGGACAAGTTTTGTAAATGGCACCACTGACAGGAGGACAAATTTAGAAATGGCGACACTGACAGGAGGACAAGTTTAGAAATGGCGACACTGACAGGAGGACAAGTTTAGAAATGGCACCACTAAGAAAAGAAGACGCTAGACACTGGCTAAGAGAAGAAGACGCTAGACACTGGCTAAGAGAAGAAGACGCTAGACACTGGCTAAGAGAAGAAGACGCTAGACACTGGCTAAGAGAAGAAGACGCTAGACACTGGCTAAGAGAAGAAGACGCTAGACACTGGCTAAGAGAAGAAGACGCTAGACACTGGCTAAGAGAAGAAGACGCTAGACACTGGCTAAGAGAAGAAGACGCTAGACACTGGCTAAGAGAAGAAGACGCTAGAGACTCACTATGGTAAAAGCGCGCGATAGAGATATTTGGTAAATCCATTGAAAATGAAGTTTTTTTGTTTATTTTGTTTTTTGTTTAATCGACAAGACCTAAACAACCTCTAGATCAAATAAAAGTTCGTATAAATCCTTTATTCAGTGTAATATGGAGCAAGGGGGGGGGGGGGGGGTTGGGCTGAAATTTGACCAAACATACATAAAAGCAACGTATTTTATAAGATTCCCAATTAGTAAATCCACCCCCCTGCCCTACACAGACAGACACACACATTTTTGTCCCCAAGGCTTGCAACAGAGCTTTTTTTTTCAAGGGTCTGAACTTTATTAATATTATAACGACCCATCCGCTTATACATTCCATATTTATGTTTACCAACTATTTCATATATATATATATATATATATATATATATATATATATATATATATATATATAGATATATATATATATATAGAGAGAGAGAGAGAGAGAGAGAGAGAAGAGAGATTCTTTTTAAAAAAATTAAAAGAAATATTTAGCGCAGTTATCGGGAATTTTATTTCTTGTAATTCGTGCCATCATATTTTCTTCATCTTCCCCTTGAAAAAACAAATGGAAAAAAAAAATGTCATAGAATGTGTTGTCATCGACGACGGTTCTATGTGCCAAATCTCAGCATGGTAGGTTGACGGGAAGTGGGTCAATTGGCCGTCCGAAGATTTTTGCCTGCCAGCCACGAACAAAAGCGAAGTTAATGTTACATGATTTTAATGAAGGTGTACAAACGCATTGTATTGCTTGAGCTGTAAAGAGTTGGAGTCGCAATGCGATTCAGTGACAACTGCCTAAAAATTTGTAGCCTTGAAATCTTAATGAAGCTCTGATCGCTTACCTTTCTGTAATATTTTACCAAAGATAGAACTGCCGTGGCCATCAAAGTGGGTCGGGCAATTCCAGCGCCTATTTTTAAACTGAAATTTGCATTCGTTGATGGCCAACTTGGCCCCGTTCTCTACAGCCACGATGCTGCCAGGATTTTTCGTGACCAGCTTCCGTTGCTTTTTGGTCAGCGGCTCCAGGCTCGGGTTGTTGTTGTGTTTGGTCACCGGGGACCGCAGGTCATTGGATGGCTCGCCGGACTTTGCCAGGGACCTGCAGGGCGAATAGAGATTGGATAAGGGAAATTTAGATTGGGATACACATTTGGGACTGTTTGTTTGTTTGACACAATCAGATTTTGTGAAAAGCACAGGGATTGAATGTTGGTAAACAATGGAGATGGAGTGTTGGTTAAACAATAGAGATGGAATGTTGGTAAACAATGGAGATGGAATGTTGGTTGAAAAATGGAGATGGAAAGTTGGTTAAAAAATGGAGATGGAAAGTTGGTAAACAATGGAGATTGAATGTTGGTAAACAATGGAGATGGAGTGTTGGTAAACAATGGATATTGAATGTTGATTAACAATGGAGATGGAATGTTGGTTAAACAATGGAGATTGAATGTTGGTTAAACAATGGAGATGGAATGTTGGTAAACAATGGAGATGGAGTGTTGGTAAACAATGGATATTGAATCTTGATTAACAATGGAGATGGAATGTTGGTTAAACAATGGAGATTGAATGTTGGTTAAACAATGGAGATGGAATGTTGGTAAACAATGGGGATGGAGCGTTGGTAAGCAATGGATATTGAATGTTGGTTAAACAATGGAGATTGAATGTTGGTTAAACAATGGAGATTGAATGTTGATTAACAATGGAGATGGAATGTTGGTTAAACAATGGAGATTGAATGTTGGTTAAACAATGGAGATGGAATGTTGGTAAACAATGGAGATTGAATGTTGATTAACAATGGAGATGGAATGTTGTTTAAACAATGGAGATTGAATGTTGGTTAAACAATGGAGTTGGAATGTTGGTTAAACAAAGGAGATGGAATGTTGGTTAAACAATGGAGATTGAATGTTGGTAAACAATGGGGATTGAATGTTGCTTAAACAATGGAGATTGAATGTTTGTTAAACAATGGAGATGGAATGTTGGTTAAACAATGGAGATTGAATGTTGATTAACAATGGAGATGGAATGTTGGTTAAACAATGGAGATTGAATGTTGGTTAAACAATGGAGATGGAATGTTGGTAAACAATGGAGATTGAATGTTGGTAAACAATGGGGATTGAATGTTGGTTAAACAATGGAGATGGAATGTTGGTAAACAATGGAGATTGAATGTTGGTAAACAATGGATTTTGAATGTTGGTAAACAATGTATATTGAATGCTCGTAAACAATGGAGATTAAATGTTGGTTAACAAATGGATTTTGAATGTTGGTAAACAATGGATATTGAATGCTCGTAAACAATGGAGATGGAATGTTGGTTAAACAATGGATATTGTATTTTGGTCAACAATGGCGATTGAATATAGGTAAATAATGGAGATTGAATGTAGGTAAATAATGGAGATTGAATGTTGGTAAAAAAAGGCTATAAATGTAGGGAAATAATGGAAATAGAATGTTGGTCAACAAAGACGATTGAATGTTGGTTACAAGTGAGATTAAAATGTATATTATACTGTATAATTTTCATTTTTTAAAATATCTATAGAGGCTTAATAAATAAATTGATGATCAGAAATGTTTAAGCCACGCCGATGTTTAATAAACTTCACTGCACTGTAAACAAATAAACATTGTTTACATTTAACAACCATATTTAAAAAAAAAAAATTGATCATATATGTGAACATAAAATATGTTAAGTGGCTTTAAAGGAATTGCGCTTCTTTTAACAAAATTACACATGTTTATGGCGCCTTGACAATCGGACTCGCTCGAAGTGTGCCAGAACGTTAAGAGATAGGAATCAGGTAGACACGCAAAAAAAAAACAAAAAAAAACAACAATAGGCAAGAGATGAATCCAATATAGACTAAATAAACTGATGTCCTCCTTCCTGTTAACGGTCGCCGGGACTATGGCTATGTCATACCAACACATTGTTGATTGATTAGATGGGGGTCTGCACAACATACGGCCCGAGGGTCGCATGCGGCCCGCCAGCACCCACTTTGTGGCCCGCTAAGTAACGAAATATTAGTTTTTATTATTTTCTTAATAGCCCCCCGCCCCCTTTTTTCCCCTGTCCTGTTATCTTTCGGCCCGCACAATATTTTCATAAAGTATTACGGCCCCCCATACATTTTAAGTTGTGCTGGCCAGGATTAGATGACTTTATATATAGGATCAAGGAACATGGGCGATTAGGCCATCACCGATGTATCAAATTTATTATCTAGTTCGCTACGCCGTCGTTCAAAAACCATGTATGCATAGAAGCAATTACTCCAACTCCCCCCCCCCCCAACTAAAAATAAAAAAATACCAAACGAAACAACACACCATCAGTTACGCTCACCCCCCCCTCCCCAGTCAGTTCCCATATTTCATATGCATTAATTCTAGCAAGTTTTATTTATAAACACAACGTCCACCCTGGCGCAAACTGTCATAAAAATATGAGCCTGACGAAAGCGCCATGTCAACTCCGACTCACGAGAGAGAGAGAGAGAGAGAGAGAGAGAGGAGAATCTGCTTAAATGTGACCCACTTTACAGCTGGAGGGTGGATAATTATTTAAACAAGTGGGTCATGTCGGGACCCGGGGGCTGGCGTGATATTTAAAACGCGGAGGGGGGGGGGAGGGACATCTTATTTCAGCTTGTAATTCAATGCCTCCTTCACCCCCACTCCTGTCCCACATTTTTTTTAAACANGGGGGGGGGGGGTTGTTTTCCTTTTATTTCATTGACAGATAAAACAAGGACCTTGGATAACTATTTTTTAATTTGATTTCGAACGACAAAAACAGTTGCAGCCATCACTTACAAGAGGTAATTTCCCCGCCGTTCTGATGTAATCATAAAGATATTCCAAAACTATAATATGATATTCACAGCGAATCATCGGCCTGAAAATCGCGGTAAATATTTGGCGCGTTTTTTGTTCATTGAAATGTTTGACTATTATAATTGAGGTCCTCATTTAAAAAACAGCAGCGTGGACTTGTGTATTCCGGACATGCACTCCTGTGATTGCGGACATGCACTCCTGTGATTGCGGACATGCACTCCTGTGATCACTCCTATGATTGCGGAAATGCACTCCTGTGATTCCTGGCTACGCTCCTGTGATTCCGGCCTTGCACTCCTGTGAAGCCTGACCAAGCCAGATAGCAGTGTGGACTTGGGTATCCTGGACACGCTCTCCAGTGATTCCGGTAAAAAAAAATCAGACCCCCTCAAGACAGAAGATTACACCATATTTTACAGTGGCAACAGTGCTAAAACTCTTGGAACAGGATTTGCAGTGAAGAAAGTGGTCGTCGGTGTAGACATGGGTTTTAAACCAGAGCATGAAAGACTGCGCTTTGTGCGTAAGCGAGGTAAATGTTTAATACAACATTTATAAATGTCCATGCTCCTACAGACGATACAGACGGTCAGATAAAAGAATCCTTGGATGGGACGCTGGAAAAAAAAAAGATCTACCATGAGGCACCACGACATATTGAAATATTGATTAGCGACTTTAAGGCTAAAATAGAGAAAGAAAAAAGTGTTTATGCAAACTACTGGCAAGGCGAGTCTGCATGAAAAAACCAATGACAATGGAAACCGACTCATAGACTTTGCTTCAGGGAAAAAGGGATGACAGTTATGTAAAGTTCAAGTTTCCAGACAGAAAATATGTATACTTGCCTGGTTGGATGATAAGTGCAGAGAGACTGTCAACTAAAGGAACAAAGGACGAATGAGCATGACACCAACGGAAAACAGAAAGAAGAGAAGAGACACGTATACAAAGAAGCCAGAAGGAAAGTCATGAAAATGTGTAGAAAGAAACCAAAAAAAAAGAAAAAAAAAAAAAAAGGAAAAGGGTCAAAAGCTGAACTACAAGAAGACAAGTCATAAAGAGAGGGAAATATTAGAGGCAACTACAAAAAGAAAAAAAAAAGTAAAAAAAAAAAACAAAAAAAAAAAAAAAAAAAAAAAAAGGAAATGGGTCAAAAGCTGATCTACAAGAAGACAAGTCATAAAGAGAGGGAAATATTAGAGGCATCTACAAGATGAAAAAAAAAATACGAAAAGAATGAATTCCATGCAAGCCAGACCTCAAATGTGTGAGAACCAGGATGGAGAGTTAATTTATTTATTTATTTAGGCATTTATTATATAGCGCTTACCTTAAAGCTCTAAGCGCTTTATGAGACATTAGGATAGTAACTACTATACTATAGAAACAATTAAAATGGCTATAAAACGAGGACACTTTGGCACGTTTTGGCCTATACTAATTACGGAACATTGTCAAGTACTGGGGAGGTGGGCTCAAAGTTTTCAGGGAATACTAAATGCAGACCAATGGACACGATGAAGATTACCAACCATCACATGGAGGATCAGACCCTTTACAAAAAATACTCCCCAACTTTGGAAGAAACGACAGAACGAGTCAATTCTATGGAGGAAAAAACCACAAAGCCCTCGGAGAACTGCTCATCACATCAGAACGTATTAAATATGGAGGAAGAGAACTACACACTTCAGATATATACAAGGATAACAAAAATTTGGCAAGAAGAGATAATCCCAACATAATGTGAAAAAAGCATTAATTACCTAAATACACATAGACACAAAACAGGCTACAAACCTTTATACAGAAACTCTCTATTAAATGTGACATACAAAACACTGTTAATGATGTTTAAATCCGTATTTCGAGGATTGTGAACAGTCGTTCTATGCTCTAATTAAGAAAATTTTCGATTTATAAATAAAGAATCAGATATTCACTTAGCACGATGAACGAGGCCTAAGACAGGGAGACTCACTGTCTCGTATGTTATTTAACCGAACATTGGAGAGAGTTATACGTTATAAGTGGTATACTGACACCCGAGGAACAAAGAACCCAAGACACAACCAATGTTTCTGGGTCAGTGATCGGTTTTTTTTGTCGACATGCTCAATCTGATAAATAGCACACACATTAGCCAGACGGACTTCGGGGACTTGTTGACTCAAGGAGTGAGAACTGCTTTAGGTTAACATGGAACTCTTTTTTTTTAAAAA